ATAGGAAAATGTGGCTTGAAATCTAAACTTGGTAGTCTGTGCTGGAAGAGGCAAGACTGTTATGGAGAAATCAGCTGAGATTCACAAGAGGCAAGGAAGCAATGCAGTACAATTCCCCTCCTCCCTCTGGTGATCAGCTGACCGTGAGCTGAGCAAAGGGTGTAGCCTGTTAAGGCTTGAGAAGAGTTAAAGCAGTTGAATAGAGCTCAGGAAGGATGCTGTTAGCGCTCAGATGATTATGAATCTTGTGTGAACTTGGAGCTGGGAAGGGGGCTTTTATCATTGAAGTGCTACAGAAGACAATAAGCACTGGGAATGGTTTGGCTGAGAAAACCATGTCAATATGAAAGATGTCAGAAGGGGGTTAGGGCCTCTGCTCTTTCCTTTACCTCCATTGTAACAATCAACTAGTGGAAAGAATGCAACAGCTAGGAGTGTGTATTGGGAATTTTATTATTGTTCTAGTAGGATTGAGGAGGGGGCCAGGTACCTGGGGTGTCAAGAAACGAGCAGGGGTTCCTAAACTCATCAGCAGAGTCTGGTGGTGAGTCACCAACATGGAACATACATCATTCCTGTTTTTATCTTCAGTTATTCTGAATTTTGCTTCCCCAGAGATTTGCATCCAAATGAACATACCATTCCTCTGTGAGCTTCTCATCTGGGATTCCCATTTTCTCCAATAACATGCCGCACCGGTACCAAATACATTTTCCCCAATCATTTCTCATCTCAAAAAACCCTCTCCAGTTGAGTTGATTTATTTCTTCGTTCACACTGCCATTTATTGTTTCTCCACATGTTTGCCCAGCAAATATGTAGGATGTAGGAACCCACAGACAGAAATATAATACTAAGTTGAGTTGAACCTTATGAAATATTAACAAAATGAAATGGAAGTTTAATATATTACTGGTGGCCTGCAGCAACCAGAGCTTATGTAGCACAAAATTATATGATGTTACATCATGTAATTACTAGAAGTCCTGTGGCACCTTATAGACTAACAGATTTATTGGAGCATAAGCTTTCATGGGCAAAGACCCACTTTGTCAGATGCATCTGACAAAGTGGGTTTTTGCCCACAAAAACTTATGCTCCAATAAATCTGTTAGTCTATAAGGTGCCACAGGACTTCTTGTTGTTTTTGCAGATTCAGACTAACACAGCTACCCCTCTGATACATGTAATTACTGTTGTTCTGGTGTTCAGTTAAACCCATGCCATTAACATGGTTTGAACAAAATTATTGTTGGTGAGTACTAAGGTGACAATCCTAATATTAGGGGCCTTGTCCATCTGGCAACTATAAACTCCTTCTCATTCCGCTCCAGGAAAAAAAAGTGTCTCGATTTTTCACACTTGCGTTAGTCATTACTGAGCTCCTCACTTTCTGTCCCCAGCCAGTCAACTGGCCACCTGGTGCTGCCGCCAATGCCAGCTGCTTCTGCCCTGCTCAGATCCAGCAGCAGGGGGAGCAGCCAGAGGACAGGCCACCATATGCCAAGATTCATGACAACCCCTAGCTGCCAGCTGAGTTTCATCCTAAAGGACCATTTTGGTTCCATCTTGTGGCCCAGAGAGATACAGGAGTGGGGGGTGGGAGCGGCACCGCAGATATACAGAGCTGCCAATAATGTGCATGACACACGAGTTACATGACATTTGGTAGCTCTGAATTCTTAGTATTTGTGGTTCCAGACAAGAGGAAACTGATTTTTTTTTTTTTAACATGAGATCAGTTTTTTCCATGATGGTTTTCCACATGGAGTTACTTGGATTGTTAGGATATCTCTTCAGGGTAGCTGTGTTAATCTATAAATTTAAAAACAAGTAGTCCTGTGGCACCTTAGGCTACATCTACAGAGTTATTTTGGAATAACTGATGTTATTCCAAAATAACGTAGTCTACTTTTACACAACAGGCAGTTTTTTTGACATACTGTCGAAATAATGTTGAGCTGGAGGACTTCATACTCTGACTCCTGTAACCCTCAATTTACGAGAAGTAAGGGAAGTTGGGGGAAGAGTGCTCTATCTCAAAATAACTGCTGTATAGACAGTGCCAAAAGTCGAAATAAGCTATTTTGACTTAAGCTACACAATTAGCTTAGTTCAAGTTGCGTAGCTTATTTTGAGTTCAGCCCTGCGGTGTAGATGTGCCCTTAGAGACTAACCAAAATACGCAGATTCATAAGCTTCTGTGGGCAAAACTGACTTCATCAGTTGAATTGAAGTGGATAGTAAGTTTTTAGGTTGTTTGGATACCTTGATTAACTTTGAGTTTCCTAGCTTTGCAATGCTTGTTTTTAGGATAATTTCATCATGCATGTGAAACTTTTTACTTTTAAGTTACCGCTAATGTATTCTCATCTTAACTCCAGTTTAACATCATGCTTTTTAGAGAATATCATTATGTATATCTTTTCATGGTTCTTCATTACTTCAAATAATAATTCAAAATAAATAACAGCAGTGACGCTTTGTACTTCTATATTACCACAGCACACAGAAGTATGGAAAATAAGGACTGCAAGAGAGTCCCTCTATATCTGTGCCCTCGTCAGCCCCAAGTAACACCCCATCCTTTATGTCCTCTCCTTGCCCAAACAGCTTTGCATCTCTTGTTGCTTTCTTCTGCTCTCCCATTCATAGCCTGCCACATAGGCTGGTGCAGCTGAGCATGGCCACAAATGCCATGTCCTTTGTAAAAGTAGCTGGGCTGGAGATGGGTTTTTTCAACACAGCAAGTGCCTTCTCTCTCTCTCTCTCTCTCACGAACAGGATTTGGGTGAAAGCTTCCCAAATCAGCCTCTTCATTAAAACAGGAGACTGTGTACCATAGCATATCAGTGGA